TAATACAATTGGAAAATTATATGAGTAGGTTAAGTCCTTAAAAAATAATATTAAAATCTTAGCATGGCATGAAAGTACTATAGCATACAGGTATTATGTGATCCTCCTTAGGGCAAAGTCTGACCATAGATAAGGTGCCATCATGGAAAAACTTCGTTACTTATAAATTACATGTTATTCTTTATGTCTAATCTCAGTTAGCACAGGCATAGTCTATATCAGTTGCTGTTTCAGAAATAACGTATTGTAATAATCTTTGTTTTATTTTTGTAAGCTCCCCAGAGTCACTGAGATTGACTTGGGAGGCCGTGTAAATATTCTTAAATAAAATAAATAAACAATCCATGAGAGTGACCTCAGCAGCCATATAAATTTTCTTAAATAAAATAACTAAATAATCCAAACGGGAGGTATCAGGTTGTAAATAATTAAAATAAGCCTAAAGATAAAGGTTTCCCTGTCTCTGACTTTAGGAGGAAGTGCTCATCTCCATTTCTTGGTCAAAGGAGCCAGCGTTGCCTGAAGACATTTTCCATGATCATGTGGCCACCATGGTTATATACCAAAGGCGCTCGGAATGCTGTTACTTTCCCACCAAATGGTACCTATTAATCTATTCGCATTTGCATGCTTTCAAACTGCTAGGTAGGCACCTGGGGCAAGAATGGGAGATCACTCCATCGCACCCTCCCCAAAAAATAAGACTACTTTTGTTAAAATAGAGTCATAATTTTGCTCACTGGCAAGAGATTTTTTTTTCTCTGCCTACAACTATCCTCATCTCTCCTGCTCATGTGTTCTACTGTATAGACAGTATAAAAGAACTATACGAACTATTTTTATAGGTGTGACAGGCACTTCCATTTCAATAACTCTAGATATAACATTTGAACATATCAAGGGCTATAAATATAGATTTGCTAACTCTCTAGAACAGAGGTGTCCAATCATGGCTGGCTGAGGAATTCTGGGAACTGAAGTCCACAAGTCTTAAAGTTACTAAGGTTTGACATCCCTGCTCTGGAAGCCAATAACTTGGCACCCGCAGAAGAAGAAATCTTGTAATGGTTAAGAAGTTTCTGCCTATATAGGAATTTAGTAGGATAAACATTTAAATATTTTCTACAAGAAATCTGAACCTAGATAAAGACTTATTTTAATGAGTAATGTTTTTTTCTTTTCTTAAAAAAAAAACTTCCATAAAAGAAATAACTACTTGTTTACAGTTGCCTTTCAATTAAAAATTAAAAATAACAATAAAATACAATATAGCATTATCTTGTTCCTATCTATATTGCATATTTTTATTCTGTTTTCCAGGCCTGAGAGGGGAACACTGATAAAATAAAAATAATCACAGGTATGAAGGGATACCTGGTGTACTGATTGGTTGGTGTCTAGCAGAGTAGAAACATTGCCGGAACTGGCAGTGGCAGTGAGATCTGGTAGCATTGGAGGTATTCAATTGAATATCTTTCTGTGGTGAATTTATGACTTTAAAAAAACCCATTGGTCAGCTGCACAATACTGGTAGGCCACATACAGCCCATAGGCCATATCTTGTTCAGGCCTGCTTTCTGCTATGTTGTGAACCGCTTATAGTCATTCTGGAGTCAGGCGGGGCCAAATCAAATAACTCAGTTAGTAAATCCCAAAACCTAATATATAAACAGTAAGAAATACAAATAAAAAATATATGTTGCTTCAACTTTCAAATATTTTTCCAAAACAGATCTTGGCCTGTGTTGTGTATAAATCTTGATATTTATTGGTTGTTGTTTTTTTGGAACATGTGTTTTATGGTTTATGATTTACTATCATCCTAGTTTTTATTGTTATTATGAACTGCCCAGAGTAGCGTTTTAAGAAGGACAGTCATACATAACTTATAAATCAACAAACATATAAGGTTTGTGTGTGTCTGTGTATACGCAAGAGGAGAGAAACCAAAACACTAATGTGCTCTAATCTGTAAGTACATTAATTAATCTTCCCTTACGTTGGGTATCGTTTAGTTGGATGGATGTCAACTCCCAAAATTCTAAACAATAGTCATGCTAGCTGAGTAAATCTGTGAATTGAAACTCCTATATCTGAAGTCATGTACATTCTGGAGAGGGTTGCTTGAGGCCACCATTCCATGACCTGCATGCATGAAGTTCTGCTGGAAGGAAATCTCTCATCTTCCTTCTCTATGTGCCACAAGAAGCACTTTAAGAAACAGTGGTTTCTTAACATGGAATCTGCTTTCTATTCTTTTACTTTATTTCACTAAAGTGTTACATGGATCATTCAACAATTGATGCTGCAGCTGATCTTAACTAAGTTGGAAAAATGCAACAAGACTATCCTTGTTTCCGGAGACAAGCTGTTGGAGAGAAGGAACATAATCTTCACGTGGTAAAAGAAGTAATGATTATGAATTCTGAAATATGGACACAAATGGGGACACAACAGGATGAATTTACACAATTCTTCCCACAAAACTGTCATATTGCAACCCTACATTCTCCACCACAAATGCTCGTGACCGTTGCATTCTACCTTCATCTGGATTGTTCAACTTAATATGGCTTGAAAGCAAAACATTGCAATTTAAGAATTTATCAAATTAAATCCTGCCCCTCAATGTTGTTATTATTATTTGGGAAGTGTGAGGAAATAAAGTTGTCTATTTCCAAGTAAATGATCTTGTAAAAAGATCATCTCCAAAACACAATTCATAAAAAAACACCCATTTCAAAAAGATAGTCTAGACATGTGAAAGGATTATCTAGCCTAATTACTAAAATGGCTGTTTTAGGCTTCATGAAATGACAATTAATTTGGTATAAAGAGTTTTCTTCCATTTTTATTAATGATATCTTGTGGCTAATAATGTAGGGTTAGTCTTAAACTGTTTTGTGGGTTAAGAAGCTGATTTTATTCACAGCATAGTTAAGATCAGCTACCATTTTCAGACATAAATTGTAAAACCAAATGGAAATTACAGCTTTTACTCTCCCATCTTCTAACTGCATCAGAGAAGGGCAAAACATATGCCAGAAGCTCAAGGTGACTCCTTCCTATTACGGACAGGTTATCATGGTAGCTGATGCAGCCAGCCTTTGCATTAAACCGAATACCAAGGAATATTGAGGGTTATTTTGAGAACAGCTCAGAATGATGTTATATAAATCTAAATTATGTAAGTCATTTAGACTTAACAAGATCATGATACATCTTTCAAAGAAAATCAATTCAAATTTAAACACATAAAGCAGTCTGGACAAGAAGGAAATTAAACAAATTCCAACCCAGCAAAAAAAAGGGACAAGATAAATTAACTGAAACGGTCTCGTAGAAGGATTACTTCACAAGTTTTAAGGTGTGAGGCAGATGAAAGGTTTCGTGCCCAAGGTTAATTCACAAAGTTGACTTAATTCAGAATAAATGATGGGACGTAGCCATGGAATTGCCATTGGGTTACTAGTCAATTTGATCTCAACTTGCAATCTTTTCCGGCTCTAAACTGACAGACAGCGAAGGAAAAAATGATCTTATCTATAAAAAAAGAACCCTTCATGTTTAAAAGGACAATTGAGATAGGAAGCTCCAAGAACATAGCATATTCTTACAAAGCAAGACAAGACTGCAAAGGTTTATTAGAAAAGCAGCGTCACAAACACAAGCCTATATTTGCATGTACTGTATTCTTCAATTAGGACCAATAAATAAAATGTCTGTTAGATACATATTAAAAACCACAGAACATTACACTTCTCTGACTGGTTTCAGTGCACTCACCGAAGACATAGTATGGAAATGAGAATGGGCAGTTTTGAAAGCTGCTAGAATATTCTTAAAAAGAGATTCTGAAATATGCTATGTAAAACCTTGGTCATTGAGTGGAAATACTGTTGAATGTGAAAGTCCATGAAATCCAAATATACATAATTCATATAAATGATAGTCAACATGAGTTGCATCCGTTTACATCTTTTGTACAATTATGTAATTATGCAGACAACATGAATTAATATGTCAATTGTTTGGATGGTTTCCAAAAAGGAAGGGGGAGCTTTGTCTATTGTTTTGGGAACAAAAATCCAAAATACATTTTTGTTCATTGCGTCTGTGGTTTCCTGAATTGAAGTTTTAATATATAGAGTTTTAGGATACTAACTAAGTTTCAACTGGTATTATTGCTTTCTTCAAATATTGCTGAATTTTACATGATGCATAACCTAAGAGATGCATAACCTAAGAGACACAATGATTATTTTTAAATGTACACATTTAAAGAGATTTTTAATGGTTTTTTAAGAGGATGCTGAACCATAAGAATTATCTGTATTTTAAACTATTGTTTTGACTATACACACATACACATGTTATTTCCCAAAGAAATATTTTTTTTTAAATTTGATTTATATACCGCCCTTCTCCGGAGACTCAGGGCGGCTTACAATGTGCTAAGCAATAGCCTTCATCCTTTTGTATATTTATACAAAGTCAGCTTATTGCCCCCACAACTGGGTCCTCAATTTACCTACCTTAGAAAGGATGGAAGGCTGAGTCAACCTTGAGCCTGGCGAGATTCGAACCTGCAGTAATTGCAGGCAGCTGGTCTTAATAACAGGGTGCTTTAGACCACTGTACTACCAACAGTTTTGTTTTAAAACAAAACTGTTTTAAAAGGTAGTCTGGAATTGCTCTGTTTAAACCAGGGGTCTCCAATCTTGGCAACTTTAAGCCTGGTGGACTTCAACTCCCAGAATTCCCCAGCCAGCTTTGCTTTAGAATTCTGGGAGTTGAAGTCCACCAGGCTTAAAGTTGCCAAGGTTGGAGACCCCTGGTTTAAAACATTCCTGACCTCTCCTCACCTTTTTGCATTATCGTGATCTATTAATTCTGAAGTTCAATGAAATTGCATATATTCTCAAATGGATCTTTTTTTTTTTGTTCCGTATTAGTTCATGTCACACAGCAACTAACAAGCAAATGCAGAAAATGCTCACGTGATATAACACTGTCCATATACTGAGGTAAATAAGGAGCCCAGGTATCAATGGCTTCCTTCCTGCCCGCCTGCTCAATTCTCCTCAGCTCTGCTAACAGTAAGGCTTGTGCTGCTTCTCTTACCTGAAAATCCAAACAGAATAGGCATTGGTTCAGTTAAAGCACTGAAAGAATGGTAGAAAAAAGGGGCAACACAGGGAGGCACTTCAAAAAAAAACATTAATAGTAACTAACCAGATGGAGTAGGGACACAATGGCTCAGTGGCTAAGATGCTGAGCTTATTGGTTGAAAAGTCGGCAGTTCAGCGGTTCGAATCCCTAGTGCCACATAATGGGATGAGCTCCCGTTACTTGTCCCAGCTTCTGCCAACCTAGCAGTTCGAAAGCACGTAAAAAAATGCAAGTAGAAAAATAAGGACCACCTTTGGTGGGAAGGTAACAGCGTTCCGTGCGTCTTTGGCGTTTAATCATGCCGGCCACATGACCATGGAGATGTCTTTGGACAGTGCTGGCTCTTTGGCTTTGAAATGGAGATGAGCACCACCCCCTAGAGTCGGGAACAACTAGCAGATATGTGCGAGGGGAACCTTTACCGTTACCTTTAACCAGAGGGAGCCTAGTAGCACTTTTTCCTACGTATAAAGTATAAGCTTTTATGAGCTGTTCATGGCTTTTAAGGACATTGGTGGGGTGAACAAAGGTGTTGCCAGACTCCTGTTATTGTTTGTTTGTTTGTTTGATTTTTGTAGACAAAGCTCTTCACCAATAGCAGTAGCACTTGGACTTATACAGTATACCCCTCCATACTGCTTTACAGCCCTCTCTAAGCAGATCCATTAAGGACATTTCGCCACGGCCAACTCGCCATGGCCAGCTCACCATGGCCAACTCACCACAGCCAAGTTGCTGTGGCCAACTCGCTCCACAGGACAATTCATCACAGCCAACTAGCCATGGGACAACTTACTGCAGAAATGGTGGGATAAAATCATTAAAGAAATGAAGCAAAAGGAGGGACAGACCGTAATGTGAATGACAAAAATTAAAATATTTTTTTAATTTATTTTAAATAATTAAATTGAATTGTTAAATTGTCCTGCAGCAAGTTGGTCATAGTGACTTGGCTGCTGTGAGTTGGCTGTGGCGAGTTGTCCCATTCTGTCTCTAAGACATTTACAGCAGGGGTGGCAAACTCGATTTCATTGAGGGTCAAATCAGGCCCTCAATCAGGCGCGGCCAGGATGGGCATGGCCAGCTCAACATCACTCGTTTTAGGGGCGCCTGTGGTGACCCGAGTGCGCTGCCAGTGAAAACAGGTTCCTGAGCTCCGTTTTTGGCTGCTACTCCCTCCTGCAACCCACTGCTAGCGAAAACGGAGCTTGAGAGGGCCACATGCAGCCCTCCCGAGCTCCGTTTTCACTGGCAGATGCACTGTGGGCCGGTCCTTTGCTGTTTCCAGGGTGGCCCCGCAGGCCAGATCGGAGCAACCCGGGGCCCGGATCTGGCCCCCGGGCCTTGAGTTTGACACCCCTGGTTTACAGAGTCAGCATATTGCCCCAACAATCTGGGTCCTCATTTTACTGACCTCAGAAAGATGGAAGACTGAGTCAACTTTGAGCCGGTCAGGACTGAACTGCTGGCAGTTGGCAGAGTTAACCTGCAATACTGTATTCTAAGCACTGCGCCACCACGGCTCTTACTAACAACTAACTAGCAACTAATCTGACAGCAAAGCTGTGCTGTATTTGATAAGATACATAAAATAAAAAGATTCTTCATAAAATTGAGCACTGGAGGAATAGGACATTTTGCTACTTCCCCAGTATGGTTGAGATGCTGGGGGAAGAACCTCATGGCCACAGAACACCAACACTTTTTTAAATAACAAAAATACTTCCCATTATTATGCTGCCATTTTACCCATGGGACATGATGGCAGGAGTAACCAAAAGGTTTTGGGGTTCTTGCTTTTTGAATAATCAGGACTACTTATTTATGTTGAGATCAGCTTTTGCTGAAGGATTCCCAAAGATTCCAACGGTTACTCTCCCAAGCCAGTTTCTCTGATAAGATGAGACGGAGAGACAAATTTCCTACTCCACACAGACCTGGATTCCACCATCACTATACAACGTCAGCAATAGTTTTTCAATTAAGCTGAGACGCCAACTCAACCCCCTACTGCAAATGTCACAGATTGGCTCCTCATATATTTCTTTTAAAGCTGCACAATCAACATTTTTCCCCCTTTCTTCTTTTTGCCATAACAGCACAGATGTAATGTCAAGGCCAGATAGTCATTGATCAAAAATAGGGGACGCCAACTCCATTTGCCAGCTAGAGAAGTTACTCAGCACTTTCACCTTAGAAACTGGCCTAAAATAGAATGTCTTTTCTTTTGTTAAAATCACATCTAGCATTTGAAAACAGCCAAATCCTTCTTACAAACATGAATCATATGTATGTATGTATGTATGTATGTATGTATGTATGTATGTATGTATATGTTGTATATGTATATATATGTATATATATATATATATATGTATATGTATGCATATGTGTGTGTATATATATAATATATACGTATGTATATGTATGCATATGTGTGTGTGTATAAAATATGTGTGTGTGTGTGTGTGTGTATAAAATATGTGTGTGTGTGTGTGTGTGTGTGTGTGTATGATTTCTCTCTGTCACCATTAGGTGCTTAAATATTTTAAAATATTTCTGAGAAGTGGGGGGGGGGGATCGGAATTAAAAGCAAAATAGACGAGAATATTTTTAGCCAGGGTTGAAATGAGGGCTCCTTGGTACTCTTCTGAGTTTGATGTTTTCTTGCAAACGTTTCATTACCAAACTAGGTAACGTCATCAGTGCACTGATGAGGCTACCCAATTTGGATAATGAAATGTCTGCAAGAAAACAATCAAACTCAGAGAGCATCAATGACCCTTAAATGCAACATTTCATGGATGTACAATCAGCCCAGTTTCCTGCACAGTGATATTAAGTGTTCCGTTCTCTACAGCTGCTCTTCCTGCCATCTTGCTTTTAAAATTAAGCAAAGTATCGAAAAGTATTAAAAAATAAATTTGCAGCAGTTATTGAACTGCTGATGCATGAACAGTAAACTAGCTGTGCCTTAATTCAAATACTGGAAGCTGTGTGTAGTTTATGGAAACAGGACAGTTCAGTTTTGAGTAAAACTTCCACATATTTGGATGGAACAATGGTGACATCCAGTGGCTGAAAAAAAAAATCTACTGTGCCTTCCTGTTCCCTGAAGTCTATCTTCCCATTTAACCAGAATATACTGTTGTCACACAGGGATGTTAACTCTCCATTTTACAAAACTGACCCGCAAATTGAATTGCATATACCTATATATATAAATCCAACCTTTAAACCAGAATTATAGTACACTTTTCTTGGAACAATATATCCAGTGTAAAAATAGTATTCCCTGTGCTGGCCAAGAGATTCATTTTTCCCTAACTGCCATCTCCAATAAAAAACTGTACCTCCAAGCATCGATCTTGCCATCTACGAGCCAACATTTCAAGGAGAGGTGGTCTAAATTGATCCAGGCCCAACAGGTCAGGGAGCATAACACAATGCATAGCAGCAAGCTGACTCCATCCTGTTAAGACAGGCAAAAAACACAACAATCACAATAGCAGAGGTAGTGGAAAACTGCTATGTTTACTAGCAGCCATAAGAACATTTCTCTATCCAGAACTTGCAACGGGTAAACAAGAAATACTTTTTCAGAATAAATAAGACTGAAGTTACACTAAGTGAAAAAGCTAAAAGCAATATATTGCTGTAAGTGAATACATAGTAATCTTTATAATCATTTTAGGCAATCAGTTAGTTGAACTATAATGCACTGTTATTCACATTTATTAGGGTATCTTTGCTTCCTTCCTACCTGATACAAATAACTGTTACTTACCTCAACTGAATTTTAGATTAAAAACCTTTTGAAAAGGGCAACTTCCAATTTCACTCAAAAAACCCCCAAATTATTCTAATAATCATCTTTCCAAAATTGTACATTTGCATTTTTTTTAACCTACTGTTTATCTTATTGTTGAGATTAAGTGATGTGTGAAGATGATCAACCGAATACTGCTTTACTTTTCCCATTCTCCTTACCTCATTCCTACTGGAGATCAGGATCTGTAGCCCTGTCAAAATCTAATCTCATATGCCACTGCTATAAAAAGACTCAACCTAGATCCAAAGATGCACTTCCATCTGAGAAAAGCTTTTGCAGCTCAAAGAGACCATGAATACAAATGTTTAAAAAATGAAAACTATAACCATCACATTCTCCCTCTCTCTCTCTTTCTCTCTCTCTCTCTCTCTGTGATCATTTGCTGAGAAATAAACAAATAATGTTAAAACACTTTTTGTTTAGTGGAGATTTTGAAGAAGGGTTGACATAGAACCTCATTATAAGAATAATCACCAGTTATACCAATAATTCCTAATTCATTTTGAGATCTTATAAACCAATGCAGTCCACTTTCTCTTCCCCTCACACAAAAGACACCAACTGTTAACGCTATTGGGCAGGAGTATCCAACCTTGGCAACTTTTAGACATCAACTCTCAAAATGCCCCATCTAGCATAGCTGGTTGAGCAATTCTGGGAGTTGAAGTCCAGAGGTCTTAAACTTGCCAAGGTTGGGCACCTCTGGTATAAGGTATAGGGACAGGGTATCTAAATCTATGAACTGGGTTTGCTGCTTAAAAATAAGAAGGGATTGTATGGCAACAACTATAAATGGGGACACAGAGAGAACATTCATAACTGTTTCTTTCCATTGGTAATTCTCCACTGTCTACAGGATTATAAAGTGAATCAATAAGAAAAGAAGAAAAAGAAGAACAATGACAAACTGTCCCAAATCTGACTCTGAGATTGACCAAATAATATGTATTCACAATGAAGTATTGCCATTGTTGAAAATTACAAGATGTCTCCACTGAGTAGCACAAGAGACTCATTTTGAAACAAGAGGTCTTCGTTTCCCATCAAAAAAATCAGGAGTTCAATCAATGAATTACTTTTCCATCTACAGATGCTACTTGATTACCAAGGCAATACACAAACACAATGACTGCAATCCTATCCTGCACCTGCCCAGCTTACCTGCACAGTTATCTGGAAATGAAATATTTTGTATAGGGTGTTGAGGATTAATGTCAGGGGCAGAAAGAGAAGAGGTTCCATTAGAGGGGAAGATAAGAGTTTTATAGATAAATGCCCTCTAATTTTCTTCCTGATACATTCTACATCTTAGGGAAAGGTAGCTTTCTCATGGTTTTAAATCCTTAGTTCTATGAACCCATCTTTCTAGTTGAAGAATATGCTAGATCACTTTACATACTCGTACCTTTAACCCTCAATAATTGGGCTAAAACAGGGGTGTCAAACTCGATTTCATTGAGGACTGCATCAGGGTTGTGCTTGACTTTGGGAGGCTGGGTGGGTATGGCCATGGTTGTGTGGCCAGCTTGACGTCACTCATGTCGGGGGCGCCTGTGGTGGTCCGAGCGCTCTACCAGCAAAAACAGGCTCCTGAGCTCCGTTTTCAGCCATGACAGCCTCCTGCAGCCCTTTGCCAGCAAAAATAGAGCTTGGGGGGTGCATGTGGGCCCCCAGGCCCCGTTTTTGCTGGCAGAGGGTTGCAGGAGGCCATCATGGCCAAAAATGGAGCCTAGGAGGGCTGCGTGCAGCCCTCCCAAACTCCGTTTGTGCTGCAGAAGCACCAAGGGCTGGTCCTTCACTGTTTCCAGGGTGGCCCCGCGGGCCAGATCTAAGCACCCCGTGGGCTAAAAGATACTTCCAAATATTTTCTAAGTCACTTTTTCTTCCCTCTCTAAAATTCTGAAATATGAAAGTCTGAAATATAATAAAAGATAAGACAGCAGCCTTTTCAGTATCTTGAAAAGGATTGCTGTTGTGGTGAAATCAGAAGGCAGGAATATTAGGCATGTACCTGCCTTAACTTATGTAGATAAGAAAGAAGGTATAAAATAATAATTAATATTTGGATAAAAATGCGAAACCCAGTCTAAACATCTGCCTGACTGTGCGATGAACCATAATAACACACCGTAATAACAAATATACTAGTCCATAATATAAATCTATTTAGTGGAAATTTATGAGCAGATCAGGGGCAATATGTAATAGAAATTAAACAATACACAGCTACCCAAAGTATAACTGTACACTAGCTATTAAATCTATAAGATAAAGACATATACTGCTACATTCAATGTTTAAATAAACCATTAAAAGTGTAAGTTCAGTGCTGGTTATCATAGACACCAATCCATTATTTTTTAAAAGGAATTGATTTCACAATAAATTTATTGCTGTGCCAATATACAAGAGTCTAGATGTTGTACTTTCTATTTTTATTCATAATTTTAAAAAAACTGAAACTCCAGCAACTTTTCAGTCCAAGAAAAGATAGGATCAGGTTGACAAGGAATATAAACACGATCCAATTTCTCCACCTCAGCTAAGAGAAAGCAGCAGGGGAAGCCAACTTTAGAAGATATCTGAAGGGTGAGTTGAACAGTCTAGCTTCCGTGGCTGGAGTCCTGATGGGGTGCCCCATCTGCAGAAGGTCTGGATGGCAAAGGAAGGAAAGAGACTTCCAAAGGGGCTTTCTTAAAAGGCAACTGGATTTTCTTGGGTTTTTTTTTCCCTTGAAAATGTTTCGCTTCTCATCTAAGAAACTTCCTCAGTTTGGAACAATCATGACCTGGATCAGGGGTCTCCAACCTTCGCAACTTTAAGATTTGTGGACTTCAACTGGGAGTTGAAGTCCACAAGTCTTAAAGTTGCCAAGGTTGGAGACCCCTGACCTGGATGGTTTGAGAATCTCCATTGAAGGAGAAGGAAACAGTCACCGCTGCCATCCCTTCTGCTTTCAGGAGCTGCAGTAATCACCAGCAGGTTGACTAGTCAGAAGAAGCGGAAGCAATCCAGCAGTTTTCACCACAAGGGGAGGTGCAAGGTGAAGCCATGTTGTGGCATTGTCCCAGGGACTTGGTGGCTAGTGGTGTGTTCCTATGTCTGTGAGTCATGAGGCACTTGCATTACATGCATATGTTTAGTTAACCTCTACCTACTCCTCTAAGAGAAGTCAAGAGAAGAAGCAAAGGGTTTCCCCCCCCCCCCTTTACTTGTTCACAACTTGGGTTTGAGGGAAGGGGGCATTTGTGAAAGAATGAAAAGATTGAAAAGAGAGAAAAGAAAGACTGAGAAAGGAGGAAGGAAGGGAGGGAGGAGAGAAGGAAGGAGGGAGGGAGGGAAGGAAAGACAGGGAGGGAGGGAAGGAAAGACAGGGAGGGAAGGAGGGAGGAGAGAAGGAAGGAAGGAAGGAAGGAAGGAAGGAAGGAAGGAAGGAAGGAAGGAAGTCAAGCAACCTTTTCTCAGCCTTGACCCATGTCATTGTTAAAGGGGTCCTGATGTATAACTTGGCGATTTTCTGTGGAAGAGGGCAATAAGGTTCCTTTGAGGAAGAACCTTGGGATACTTTCTTTGGGGTCATCGGAGCTAAGGAGAGACAAGGAATGAGCTGCATCAACCCTAGCTGTGAAAGGACACAGGGGGGGGGGGGGGGGAGAGAGAGAGAGAGAGAGAGAAATTCTGTGATTATTCTGAAAAAAAAACCCCTGAAGCTTCTGTTTGAAAAACTTCTGTCTATAGTAGACCATCTGCTCTTCTGATGGTGTTTCACTTGGCCAGACTTGGGCTGTTGGGAGTTACAACTGTGCAACATTTGTAGGGTTACAGATTATAGATTGACATCTGATTGTTAAGTGAAATGCACTACTCTTCATGTAGTACTTGTAATCATCTAAATCTGGGACCCTTGCTTAGAATCAAGACGTTTCAAAGAAAACTCTCTTATCCTAATAAAACTGAGAGATGTTACCCCCCAAATTGTAAGGGTGTCCCATTTAACTCTACTGCATGGCTGATTCTGCAATTACTCCGGAGGGAAATTTGACTACTGCTGATTAGAGGAAAGCTTGAATCAAACAGTAACTTAATTAAATTGTTCTTGGCATGACAAGAACATGATAAGAAATAATATGGTATTAAGTTGTAAAACCCATCTTTATTATTTGTTAGAAGGATTATATTCTGAATAATTGACATAAATAATTGAAAATCAGTCAATACATTATAAGGCGGTGTGTCTCAACCTTATCAATCTTAAGATGTATGGACTTCAACAACCAGAATTCCCCAGGCAGCATGAATTCAGGGTGTTGAAGTCTACACATCTTAAGATTGCTAAGGTTGAGACACGCGGTTATAGGGTGACATATAGCATCCTGTTTCTTTATTTCAATTTCAGTCTTCCAAATCTCTTCCGGGAGATACTCCTTGAAATCCATTCCATTGGAGACAGACACAATTGGAAGCAATCGACATGCCAACACACACACACACACACACACACACACACATACACAGAGTGTGTGTTTTACAAATCATTTAAAACCAATACATCTACTTTTAGAATCCATTTCATTCCACTGATCCTGACAAAGTGAAGTTTTTTATCTGTTGGAACACCACACGTTTAATCAGTATATACTGGTTAAACATAATTCTGAAACAGACTTGCAAAATGCAAAGTTTTTCTAAAACCATTCATGCATACCTGCTTCTCGGTTTACAATGCCATATCATCAATCAACCCTAGAAATTTTCTTTGAAAATATTATTTGAATTCAAAAGATTAAAAACATCATCAATCAGGATATTAACTAAATTGCATTTGTCGTCTTCTGACCTCTCACTTCACTACATGAAAGAGAATTAACAAATTTTAAAATGTGTGGGCCTGGGTACTCTCTGAAACTCGGTTGTTTTCTTGCAAATGTTTCATTACCCTACTAGGCAGTGTCATCAGTGCCATAGTCACCTAGTTGGATAATGAAATATCTGCAAGAAAACAACCAAGCTCAGAAAGTACCAAAAACCCCACAGTTCAACACTTATCTACAATATCCCCTTCTATTGAAACTTTAAAATCTCTGCAATCTTATAATCTAATAACTAATGTTGCATATGGTTGTCATTTTAAAAAGACATGATCAGCCTGCAAATGCAGAGAAAATGAATTAATTTGAACGAACTAAATGAAGTATTGGTTATAAATAAAGACTGCTAAGTGAATGCATTTATTAGTTTTAAATAAAAGTTGCTAAGTGAGTTTAAATAGTTTGGAGAATGGATTGAGAGAGGCATATAACACAACCAGAGAGCAAGTCAGACAAAAGAAAGAGAGAGAGAAAAAAGGCAAAGTAGAAAGAACAGTGGTGAAAATACCTTCATTTACTAAGAAACAGGAATGTAAAGGAGGAGCAGGGCCAGAGCCAGAGTGATCAGCTTCAGTACTAGCAGAAACAGCAGGAGCAACTTGAGCAGGAAAAGAAGAAATAAAAGAGGAAAATGAAGAGAGACATTTCCAGAAATGAAAACAAAATTGGTTAGTATTATTAAAGAACTTAGTAAAACCAAAATCTCTATATAAAGTGAAACACTATAAAAGAACCTTTTAAGAAATGTATCCAGGAGAGAAAAAAATAAGTCAGTTATAAATTAGCTGGTTACTCGGGTGCCCCAGAATATAGAATAGAATAGAATAACAGAGTCGGAAGGGACCTTGGAGGTCTTCTAGTCCAACCCCCTGCTTAGGCAGGAAACCCTACATCACTTCAGACAAATGGTTATCCAATATGATTCACAGACACCCTCTGCCAGATCTGAATTCAGAGGTGCCAAGTGCATTTGTGTCCCTAGAGTGATCTAAGCTGTGGTTTGTTTAACAATGATTTATTGAGCGAACAATTGTATGGCTTAGCCCGTTGGGACGGGCACAAGGAAGTCCCATGGTATTTTGAGAATTCCAACCTGGGTTTTTTTGGGGGGTGGATGGTGAATAGGTTGCAGGGAACCCTTTCATCCAAAATGGACAGTTGCCTGTTTGCCAACTATTCAAGGGGTTTGAATTAAAAAAAAAAAATCAATAGATGTGAACAAATCCTAAAACAGGCTTAAAACTACCAAAGACAGGCAAATGGAGAGAGTAAAGACCCTTTAACCTCAAAAGAAAAAGGAAAAAAAAAACTGTTTCTGTTGATGGTATGCTACCTTGTTTCCCAAAAATAAGTTTCTGTCTTATATTTTTTGAACCCCGAAATAAGCGCTTGGCCTTATTTTAAGGATGGTCTTATTATTTTGGGGCGCATGGAGCAAGATGGGGCTCCTCTTGCTGTCTTACCTGATTTCCAGCTCTGTCTCTCTAAACCTAACCAGAGGAAATGGCAGGGACTAGCTGCGCATACATTTAAATATTTTTGGAGAGGGCTTATTTTTGGGGGGAGGCATGCGCTCAAAAGCCTGATTGGGCTTATTATCAGGGGATGTCTTATTTTTGGGGAAACAGGATATGTTTTCTCAAACTCTGAAAAACCAATCCTTTCTGGTACTTCCTTAACTATCCCCTCCCCAATATGTAGCCTCTGTTATAAGTATAACTGACAAATCATGCTGGTAAATTCACCCAATGCACACAGCCATCCAAAGCACATTATGGCTTAGTGCAATGGGTGAACCCATGGCACACTGATGGAAAATACATCTCAGTATGACCAGTGTTATGTCCTTCATACAGAATTATTATTTTAATAAACCAGATGTAAGTAGTGTATTCATATTATGATCACTTCATAAAAAATAACAACAGCATAGCCTCTGAACAAGTGGCTTTTCAGAATTGGTTGGAGAGTAAGGCAAACTCAACGTTTTGAAAACTAATTCTCTTCAGCCCATCCGCGTCTTTAAAAACCGATGATTAAAAAAATAGCGTTGGTCGAATTAAAGCTTCTTTCATTTTATGGTGGACATTTTATGAATCGTGGAGGGGGTTCTTAATTTTTTTTTTTTTTTAAAGGAAAAGGCAGTCCAAAGGCAGTCATAAACTTTATGGCTTCACTAATGCTTCATGAATCAAATTATCATATAAAAGGGCAGGCAGACCTTATGGCACACACCATTCTACAACCAGAGGTCAATGTTAAGATTTAGAGGTCACTCGCTGACACTTCCTTCTTGCAGAGAATTACCATATGTCATGCACAAGCATCTTCAAATTAATCCCTCTCCTTTATTCCATTGCAGGATGACAATAGGCTCAGGCTCCAGAACAGATTACGTATTGTTTCCTGTATTGTATGTTTGGTTTTCATGCAGTGAACTACTTTTGTTACTCTAAGACATCTGCATCAAAATTACTGCTTGTATGATTTCGACACAAATGCATCACGGTGGCATGCGCAAACCGGCTTGATGCACTTCATGTAAAGCGGGGAGGAGGGGAAGAAAGAGCTCACTAGAACTGGTCAAGGATTCAGACTGATAAATGCAAAGATCTTCCCCAAATATGCAGGTGAATTCCAGACTGAAAGTTTACTGTGCAATATTGAGGTTTGGGCTCTTTTGTGATCCGACTGTGGGGGGGAAAGAGACCAGCCTCTCTGGCTGTCACTGTTTATACCAATCAATGCAACTGAAAACAACAACAGCTGGCTTTGTGTATAGCAGGGCAGAAGCACTGGACTCGCCGGCAACCTGAAAATAATCACTGCATGAATCGATTACATGCAGGCTCTGTTTGCCGTGTTTTAAATGTGCTACAAGTAACCAAGTTAAAGCCAGCAAAATTCTTGTTTAGAGAAATATATGCAATGCTATTAAGTATTTTTTTTTTTTTTTTACCAAAAATAGTATTAATTTCCTTGATATTTATTATTAGATTGGAGAAGAAGTAATAAACTACCCTGTTTCCCTGAAAATAAGACCTCCCTATATAATAAGCCCAAGCGGGCTTTTGAGTGCATGCACTAAAATATTGCTTAACGCATTGCTTAACGCGTTGTAAGCCGCCCTGAGTCTCCAGAGAAGGGCGGCATATAAATCAAATAAAAAAAAAATAAAAAAAAAATAAGCCCTCCCCCCAAAAATAAGCTCTCCCTGAAAATATTTAAACGCATGTGCAGCCAATCCCCACCATTCCTCTGGTTAGGGTTAGGGAGACAGAGCTGGAAATCAGGTAAGACAGCAAGAGGAACCCCGTCTTGCTCCACGTGCCCCAAAATAATAAGATCTCCTCGAAAATAAGGCCAAGTGCTTATTTCAGGGTTCAAAAAAATATAAGACAGGGTCTTATTTTCGGGGAAACACGGTAGAAGCTTAATAAGTGAATTCCCTAGAAATGATGTTAGAGATTATATATCTGTATCTTTCTATCTATCTATCTATCTATCTATCTATCTATCTATCTATCTGTCATCTATCTATCTATCTATCTATCTATCTATCTATCTATCTACACTCTAATCAAGACAGACAGACAGACAGATAGAGAAAGATAGAGAAAGAAAGATAAAGATAGAGATAGAGATATATAAAAACACCACTCTAATTACTTCATTTAAAATATACCCCATTGTGGGCAAAATCACAAAAAAATGCTACCGAAATTATGTGTCTGTTTTTCAGGGACTTGCATCACATCACCATATCAAAATATTTACTCTACGCTGAATTCTTCTATCCACTAAAAGCAAAATAAGAAAAATAAAGCTTTCAATTGATCCAGCTTTTAAACTGACAGTAGGATAAAACTATTTCAGGAGGCTTTAATATATCTCAGGAAGAAAAAAAAAAAGGAAATAGAAAATCACGGATCACTAGTTTGCTTCCCTTGTACTGTTCAGCATTTCAAATTGAGGAAGCACAACGAAAAAAGAAAGGTCAAAAATGCCAGCAGAAGTCCCTCTGTCTAGAGCACATGCTATTTATTATTATACAGATACGCAAAGAATGATAAACTTTTTATTAACTAGTCACGTGTAATTTATCCACCTCCCTAGCATGCAAACACAATTGCCTCTGAGTAAAAGGCAGTTGGATTACAAATTTTAACAAATACAAGTAAAATTGCTGGTTTTTCTATTTATTTATTTCTTCATTAAATTTATTTGCCACCTGTTTCGCCTTGAGGATATTCTAGGCAGCTTACAACAATAAAAATGAAGAAATGAAAAGATGTGTAAACATAACCATAGCAAAGTAATGGTAACTGATTTTTAAGTAACGGATTTTTCTATATTCTGCGCATCAGGATTAGTACTAACATTACTTGCAAAATCATTAAATAACCAATTTCTCATTTTGGAGAAATAGACACCTGCCAACTGAAGGGGTTAACCTTGGTTAGAAAAAAAAAGTCATGGTAATGGGGATATAGATTCTATAGGAGAAAAAAAAAGCAAAATTAGTTGCACGCATACTTTTTTCCCCTCACATGGCACAGAATGCAATCTTTTAGAATATCTCAGTTGTGAAACTGATCATCATTCCTTGTATAGGAATGATGAACAAACACAATCACTTGTACTTTACTTGCTTTACTTGTACTTGTACCGAGAGCTTCCAGAGACAAATTCTTTGTGTGTCCAATCACAACTGGCCAAAAAAGAATACCATATTTTTCAGCCCTAAAAGTGGCTGAAAAGCTAGGTGCGTCTTATAGACCAAATATGGGCGTTTTTGGCTTCCCGAACCATCCTCACGTCGCATTTTCGCCCTTCCCGGCCCCCAGAAGCACTCTGCAGTGCTCCGCATGGCCCGTTTTTGCCAAAACCTGGCCCATTTTTGGGTCCCCAAGCCCTCCTTGCGTCATGTTTTCACCCTCCTTGCCCCCCAGAAGCACTCTGCAGGCCAAAAATGGGTGCGGAGAGTGCTTCTGCAGGCTGGGGAGGGTTAAAACGCAATGTGCAGAGGGCTTGGGAGCCCAAAAAGGGCCCATTTTTGGTGAAAATGGGCCGTGCAGAGCACTGCAGAGTGCTTCTGGGGGCCTGGGAGGGCGAAAATCCGATGTGCAGAGGCCAAAAACTATTTTTTTCTTGTTTTCCTCCTGTAAATTTAGGTGCATCTTATAGTCCGGTGTGTCTTATAGTCCAAAAAATACGGTAATTCTGTTCTGTTCTGTTCTGTTCTGTTCTATTCTATTCTATTCTATTCTATTCTATTCTATTCTATTCTATTCTATTCTATTCTACTCTACTCTACTCTACTCTACTCTACGCTACTCATTTTATTTTACTCTACTCTACTCTACTCTTTTGTATGTTTGTTGGGGAAAATGAGAGCAATGAAACTGAAAGTCATGAGGCCAAAAAAACCCCTAGCCTCCTAGCTGTAGATCTGCTTAGTGAAGACTGAATGGGAGCTAGAAACACAATGGCAATGGTTATGAAGACATCTACGCTAGCCCATGCCACTACTCATGGATCCCCTAAATAATAAACAACAACCACAGAGCAATAGAAGAAATGGTTAAATCATGCAAGATCTTGCCAAGAAAGTCAAAACCACAAAACACTTAACATAATACCAAGGGCATGAGACTGCTAAAATCATGTGAGATTCCATGAGATTTTGGGGTGGTGGTAGTGGTGGAGGAATTATTAAAAAAAAGTAGATGGGGATGTACTTGGCCCATTGCAGCTGCTTGCATGATGGTGCTATAGACTAAACTCTGAACAATTCCTGACATTTAGCTGGCATTATTATAATCCATAATGTATAACGTATAATATAACAAGTACTTTGTATGGCATATTTTTTTAAAAAAAAACATCAATGAAACAGGTTTTATAAAAAATAGTGAGCTAACTTTTTTGGTCAATATATTAATGAACTTTCATTTCATTTTTGGAGAAGCGCATACAATATCAGAAAACAGCTACCTTTCTGTCCATCTAGCAAAGCAGCTGAGTAGGTGGCCACAAATCAACAAGACCTTTTCGCTGATGTTTCTGTTTGTAGAAATTTCATTCGGTGAAACTTCAAACTGTCCTAAAGGTTTCCTTTATTATTAACTTGGCCTTTAACTGGTTTAGAACTTTCTATAATTAAGGATATTGTTATGTCCTTACTTGTTAGGTTTATGTATTGTTTAGCAGTGCTTTTTTAATTTTTTTAATGGATTTAATTTTGCTGAGGATTGCATTTGTAATGTTTACTATAAATTATAAATCATTTTACATGCAGGCAAATAAATATTTAAGCTTTATTTTCTGCAAACGCTGTAAAATCCTTCACTTTTTTAACTACTTTAAAAAATGAGGGCAGGACAATTTACAGCTTACAGGTGCTAAACACTAGAGAAAGTTCATCTACAGCATCAATAATAGAAAAGGTGAAAGGGAAGAGAACATTTTGAACCTAACATTTTCCCCCTTAAGGTTACTACTGGATTAAAAGGAGCTTTAAGTACTTCAATAAACATAAAAAATTGAATAAAAATCTGACCAAGGTAGTTGCTATTTTCCACCAGATGGATCAAATGTCAATTGAATTGCAATCTATAAGAAATTAAGCTGTCACCTGCCAGTTTCACCCCAAAACAAGCTGACCTTGAATCACTTCTAAAATGCAACAGAAAATATTTCCAAATTCATAGTTCCTATTAAGCATTGAAAGAGAATAATGGATGAATGCAATATAAAGTTGGATAGGAAGTAAAATTCCTAAGAGTGAGCATGGTGGGTTTTTCAAAAAAAAATATTTATGGTTTCAAATATTGTACGTAGAAAGAAGACTTTCACTTTCATGGATATTAGTAATTTCTTACCATTATCAAAAATTATTTCAACTCCGTCTCATTGCCAAAGACAATATGTTTTTCATTTCAAGTTTGCAAAAGCAGTCTAAATCACTGTAGTTTTGACTACAATTCACAAATTCTGAAAAGCCTGAGGTTCATTACCTTGTTTAATCAGTCCTTGTGCTGTTGGACTAGCAAGTGGAGTAGAAGTCTTCACTCTTCCAAGGTCAGGAGTCCCTGGTCTAGGTGGCCTACAAATAAAACACTTGTGAATTTATAATTAAGCACATAAAGGAGATTGTTTATACTTTCATATTTGAGCCTGGTGTCTTAAGAAAACATATTAGAAACTCCCACCTTATCTACACCGATCTGCAGTACTTTTTTCCCCCTGATCTTCTTTTTAGCCCATTTGTTTTCTCCAAATCTTCATAATCTTCTAGAAAAGATTTACCCTCTTCCAGAATTTCTTTTGCTTTTCTTTGTGGGACAGGCAGATGAAGATTCTTGCCATGGTTCTCATGAAGGCACTCATTAATGACTGTTTAACATTGTAGTGGCTTTGGGTGCATGGAATTTCCAGCTGTGGGACTTTAGTATCTTTAGTTCTCGATGGGGCTGCACTACCCCAGACAGACCTGGTACGCAATCTGTAGGTTCTCCTAGACTCATGACTCCTGTTCAATGAGCAGGTGGCAATTGTGGCTAGGAGAGCCTTTGTACAACTATGTGCTGTGTGCCAATTGCGCCCCTTCCTGGATTGGGAGTTCCTATTCTCAGTCACTCAAGTCCTGGTCATCTTATGCATGGACTATTGCAATATGTTCTACATCGGGCTTGAAGAATATCCAGAAGCTTCAGCTGGTGCAAAGTAACAATAGCAATATTTATTTATTTATTTATTTATTTATTTATTTATTTATTTATTTATTAATCAAATTTCTATACCGCCCTACTCCCGAAGGACTCAGGGCGGTGAACAGCCAAGATAAAATACAGATAATACAAATATTAAAAAATCCCTTAAAATTATTAAATATTTCGGCCGAAACACAGATTAAAACACCCAATTTGTAAAATCACGAATTAAAAAATTTAAAAATTTAAAAGATGGGAGTTAGGCCAGGCCAGCTTGCTGAAATAGAAAAGTTTAAGTGCAATAGCACTTAAGACTTATATACCCCTTTACAGTGCTTTTACAGCCCTCTCTAAGTGGTTTACAGAGTCGGCCTATTGCCCCCAACAATCTGGGTCCTCATTTTACCCACCTCGGAAGGATGGAAGGCTGAGTCAACCTTCAGCCTGGCGAGATTCAAACTGCCAAATTGCAGGCAGCCGGCAGTCAGCAGAAAGTAGCCTGCAGTATGCCACTGCGCAACCACGGCTCAAAAGGCAGCAGAATGGGCAGTTCTTGGGGCTGCTAAGGTGGCCCATGTTACACTACTGTTCACATGTTGCACTGACTTTGCTCCTGGATTCAATTCAAGGTGTTTTCAAGGGTGTTATAACTTTTAAAGCCCTTCAGGCTATCTGAGGAACCAGCTCAGCCAGATGGGACTAGCTCACCCTACCCTCAATGGCAGAAGGGACATACTCCGGACTCTGTCGGTCAAGGAATTCTCCCAGGCAGGGCCAAGAAGAAGAGCTGGTGGAAGCAGAATGCAGAACCCAAGAGTCCCAGAAAGCAGCAGCTCTGAGAGCAAGACAAAGCGCTACAAAGGACACCTGAGAGCAGCAAGCTGATTGTACAGACAAATGACTTTGAACAGGGTTGGCTGGGAAAGGCAGGATGAAATTGTGTGAATAAGATCAAAGACAGAATATAGTCAAGATAGGGCATATGAGGTAAGACAACAGCATAATATAAAATATAGGGTAAGATAGGAAATGAGTTAACAAATACTACACGAAATAAATAAGATTTACCTGAACAAAAGAGCTTTGGACCTCTGAATTTACCATTATTTTGGGTAAAGCATTTTGTAATGAACCCCCCCCCCCCCATGACAATTGCTATCCCTTCTTGCCCAAGTCTGGTATCACTTAAATCCAAACCTTACTTGCTAGTTCTGCGTTCACAATTTAGTTTCAATTCAACAAATAATTGAACAAATTAAATACCACTTATTGTATATATTTATATTTGCCGGATTATGATCTCCGGCAAATACAAATAGCAATATGACTTAGACTTATATATCGTTTCACAGTGCTTTACGGCCCTCTCTAAACAGTTTTACAGAGTCAGTATATTGCCCCCAACAACCTCGGTCCTCATTTTACCCACCTCAGAAGGATGGAAGGCTGAGTCGGACTTCCATGAGCCGGTGAGACTCTTAACTGCAGGCAGTCAGCAGTCAGCAGAAGTAGCCTGCAGTACTGCATTCTAAACACTGCACCACCACGGCTTATATACATATACATATACATATACATATACATATACATATACATATACATATACATATACACATACATACATATACATATACATATACACATACATACATACATACATACATACATACATACATATATATATATATATATATATATATATACACAATGTAACCTCAATTTAGTGGACAGACCTAGGAGAGGGAGGCGTCCATTACTCCTGATTGGTCAATCAGACACCTTGATACCTACAGCAATATCGTTACAAAAATGATGCCACCATTGCATCATTATACAAACAAAGGGCATGGCAATACTGGCATTATTTTACACTCATTCATGCAGAGAGATGGGAATTTGGTCCGTGGCATCATGGACTGCTAAATCAAGTTTGCAATGTAGTATGGAATTCTGGAAGGGAGAAGGGAGCGAAAACAAAGAGATGAACCACTAATAAATGAAATTGTTAAAGGTACCTGGCTGGCCCCTTTTTCATATGCTCTCCAATAAAAGTTGCATTGGTCATGCTCATCAAGGTGTTTGCCAGGGAGATGATGGAAAGGAGGTGCTGGGTTGTTACTGCACGTGAAATGCCATACGTCCCCCTGATGTGTCGCTCTGTCAGAGAGTCAGGCTTTACTATGTCTTTTCTATCACTAGAGGGTACCTGGTCTACAGGCTTATGATACCCTGGGAGCATCAAAGACATGTGGCCGCCTCTTGAAAGCAAGCCAAAAGAGACAGAACAGTGAGGCCTCAACATCCCTAGACGCTCGCTGCAAAGTTCATCCAGAACACTGTTCAAGCCCCAAGCATGAAGACATGACATAAACAGCTTGGCTGTGTCCATGGTTAGGTTATATTCTAAAAGAGTTAAGGGCTTTGATTTGCTAGACCGGTATTCAGGGTCACCGTCCTCTCTTCTCTGTCTGGCTTCCTCATCCTCATCATCTTCGTCAAAAAGACGTTCTTTTATGTTTTCTTTGATTGTTTCTTTGACAGTTTCTTTGACCTGCTGAAGCAGGACTGCGGCTCGTTTGCCAGCCAGGAAGGGACTTCCTTTGTCAGAGCTGCCAGATGCTTTCTGTAAATTCTCAGGGGAAATAAGGGCTGTGTTAGGCCTGGAGGCTTCCTCAGTTAGTAACTGAATAATCAGAGCTTCCACATCAAAGAAGAGAATATGGACATCTGGGTCTGTTAAGTTGGTCTTCAGGGCTTGAACCATCAGAGAGTTGTGCGAATATTTTGGCAAGTTTCCCTTTAACAAAACACAGAATACAATTATCTCTGGTATGTTTTTCTGTTTATGGGTTTGTACATTATACAGTGTAAATATCTTGGACAGGAGCACCCAATACAGTTTCCATCCACTAAATAAATAAATAACCCAATACAGTTGTAATGTTTGAAAACCACAAAATTAATAGTATGAATCTATTTTAAACATAGGTATCACTAAGTGCTCGATACTGAGAATGTTTTGAAACAGTATGTATATATTACGTTTTTAAACAAAGCTTGGGCATTACTTTCTGAGTGGATGTGACTCCACTGAGCTAGGGCTGCAGAAAAACCTTGGTTACATAGGAAAAACCTGGCTAAAAGGAAAAAAAAAACACACACACACACATATATATATTATATATATGTATGTATGTATGTATGTATGTATGTATGTATGTATGTATGTATGTATACATATAACAACTAGAAGGCCAGTTTTGTTAGCTTTTAAAGTAATAATAAATATTCTACTGAAAATAAGTGTCCTGCAGATCTTTATCTATTTTTTGTGCTCTCTAAGTTTGGTTGTTTGCTTGCAGATGTCTCATTACAGGCTAGATAACATCATCAGTGCTGGTGAGTGTGTGGGGTTTGCTGCCTGTTTATATACTGTACTTTGCCCTACCAATGTTGTTGGGGGTGTGTGCTCTAGTCCTGCCTTAAGTGCAAAGCCAGTTGGGTGACTTTGGACTAGTCACTCTTTCTCAGCCCTAAAAAAGAAGCAAGGACAAACCACTTCTAAAATCTTGCAAAGAAAAGGGCAGGGAATTATTAGGAGGTAAGAAAGGATGAAAAAAAAAATAACTTAACTGAAAGGTCAGATGTCCCAAAGATGCTTTTTGAAAAGTCAGCTGGACTTCCTTTGTTTTTGGTTTTTTCTTAAAAATCTTTCACTTCTCATCCAAGAAGTTTCTTCAGTTCTGGCTGAATGGTGGGAATGGAAGGATTTATACTCCTTGCAGACAGCTCCTCATCTGCATTCTTTTAGAGAGTCACTGAGGCCACCTGGAGGTTTATCTGTGTCCTGATATAAATCTGTCTGCAAGGAATATAAATCCTTCCATTCCCCACCATCCAGTCAGAGCTGAAGAAGCTTCTTGGATGAGAAGTGAAACGTCTTCAAACAAAAACAAGAAAGTCCAGCTGCCTCTTGAAAAAGCACCTTTGGGACAAACATGATCTGGATGCCTGAAAATCTCCATAGACAATATCATACATCCATATTTGCCCATACCACTGCATTTTGGACTAACTGAAATTCCAGATGTTCTCCAGAGGCAAGTATCATTAGAGAGCACTGCAGTAATCCATTTGGGATGGGACTGAACCATGAACAGTTATGTGTAATGTCTTCTGATCCAGGAAGGGACACAATTGGTACAACAACCTCCAGTCACAGCTGCCCTCCCCACCACTCATTCTTCTGTCAAGTGCTGTGCCCACATTCTGTCTGGAATACTACAACCCCATCCAGCGTTAAGGGTGGAAAAATCATCAAATCCAGGATGCCCTAATACTCAAAGCCATTCCATCTGGCTAGGGTTGAGTTGAAACCTGTTCATTCTTATCTAGCTTGCCACAGCTCCAGGCACCGAGATAAAAATCAATTTTAGTGCTAATATTTATTATGTTAATGTTGCATTTGGATAGTAAGCCCCCTAGGGTCTCCTCTAGGTGGGATGGGTAATATAATAACTAACTAACTAACTAACTAACTAACTAACTAACTAACTAACTAAATAAATAAATAAATAAACGAACAAACAAACAATTTTTTTTGACACAGGCAGCATAGACCCACTAGATGGGTACCATATTAAACAAACAAACAAATAAACAAGAATTTTTAGACACAGGCAGCAGAGAGCCACTAGATGGGTAGCGTATTAAAGAAACAAACAAACAAGAATTTTTAGACACAGGCAGCATAGACCCACTAGATGGGTAGCATATTAAATAAATAAATAAATAAATAAATAAATAAATAAATAAATAAATAAGAAAAAAAGACTTTTTAGACAAAGGCAGCATAGACCCACTAGATAGGTAGCATATTAAACAAACAAACAAACAAACAAACAAGAATTTTTAGACACAGGCAGCAGAGAGCCACTAGATGGGTAGCATATTAAACAAACAAATTTTTTTTACACACAGGCAGCAGAGACCCACTAAATGGGCAGCATATTAAATAAATAAATAAATAAATAAATAAATAAATAAATTGAAAGCATATTAAACAAACAAACAAACAAATAAATAAAATAAATCCAACTTTTTAGACATAGACAGCGGAGATCTACTTCCCTGGTGGGATACACACCTTCCTACTATGCCTGGATTGTCTCAGTCTGTTCCAGAATATTTGGAATCACTCCAAGAGCAGAACTGAGGATGCCTCTGATACCCCACCTCCAATTCCCTGTGAAAGCAGCTTCACCAATGAAACTTTAATGGTAAATTGAAATAACTGAATGCATAAAAACCAAAGGAAAGGAAAGGTTAAAAAAGAAAGAAAGAAAGAAAGAAAGAAAGAAAGAAAGAAAGAAAGAAAGAAAGAAAATTAAAAATGATAGCCATGAATCGTATATAGGATTTTACTTCCTTAATGGTGATTTACATGAATAATTTCTTAACCACCTATATAATATTAACTATTGCACCCCACGCAAATTCGGCTTCCTTTTAGTATTTTACATTATTAGAAAGGTATAAGAAGTTGATTTTTTTGGCTTTATTCTGACATTTCAGGGGTTTTTTTTTAGTTTTAAGCTTGTGGGGGAAATGATCCGAAGATATATAATAGAAAAATAGTCATGTTAGAGCTTACTAGCAATCCTGTTTCCCAGCTTTACACATGTGGGTTTCATCGATTTTAAACCTGGCTAAAATCTATATAGTCAGGTGTGTGGAGGGGTTGCAAATAAAAAAATCTATATAAAATGTCTAAAATCTCTAGAACTATGAATCTAACAAGAAGTAGATCTCTAATGCCCTCTACTGTCCTGCTGTTAAAAAGCAAAGTAACTCTTTGTTCTGAAGAACACAGAACTTCTACCGTAATTATGTTTGATATCTGATCATCTCAGATATCAAGCCTCCTGTCAAAGTAATAATCAAAACACCATCATATTATACTATGTAAACATGAAATACTTGTTCATTGAAATTTATATAATATATAATGGGGAACTGCGGATTCCTTGATAATTATGTCTTCAAATATCTATGGTACGATCATCAATAGTGAATCATTGTCATCCAAGGAGAATGGGTCAAAACAGAATTCTTTTTTTTTTTTTAAACAAAACATAAAACAAATCCATCATCCATTACAAATGCAAACAGTGTGTCAGTCGGTTACAAATCTCAGTGCGGTTAACAAACCGCATTACTGGTTTGGTGATAGCAATGCCTCAGATAGAAAGTCCATACAGAGAGTGGTAAGGACAGCCGAGAAGATTATAGGAAGCTGACTTCCCGTTAATTCAGGATACTGCTCATAAGCGCTATGTGCTTAGAGCTCAAAGCATAGAGACCCTGCACACCCACTTCAGGGTCTGTTTCTATTGCTTCTTCTGGGAGGAGGTTTCAAAGTATTTCTAGCAGGACTACCAGATTCTGTCATAGCTTTGTTCCCTATGCCATCCGTCTGGTAAACTCGGAAGATTCGTTTTTCTCACCATGTACCTGTATACATCCGATCTAGAATGTGTTGTTTCTCCATGTCATATAATATATGTGGGCATATGCATAATTTTGAATGTATTTATTTATTTTGTCATGTTTATGCAGTGTATATTGGAGGTGGTGACCCTTTGAGAGCTGTATGCAATGAAATTTCATTTTAATGTATGCTGATTAGTATACATTCAAAGTGACAATAAAGTTAGTCTAAGTCTAAATCTAAGCTCAGTTTCTTAATGAAGGGTCTGCTACTTTTGATCACGTCTCTAGTTCTGGACTACACCCCTCTTTTAACATCTGATTGTATGTAAAACTCCACCTTTGGCTATAAGCATCCATCTGTTGTTCAAGCAGAACCTATGAGTATAAGAGGGCTCCCAAGTATATTACAATGTTACCAGAAACTCAAGCGTCCAAACACTTACGCAGACTTGGAAGGAGATTCTCAGTCATCCATAGTTGTCTCAAAGGTGCTTTTTCAAAAGGCAACTGGGCTGGGTTTTTTTTTTCCCTTGAAGAAGACATTTTGCTTCTCTTCTAGGAAGCTTCATCAGTTCCGATCAAGCTTCTTGGATGAGACGTGAAACAGCTTCCTCAAGGAAAAAACAGCCCAGTTGCCTTTTGAAAAAGTACCTTTTTCAAAAAAAAATAAAAAATGTATCTTTTCTTTTTATGTACACTGAGAGCATATGCACCAAGACAAATTCCTTGTGTGTCCAATCACACTTGGCCAATAAAAAATTCTATTCTATTCTATTCTATTCTATTCTATTCTATTCTGTTCTGTTCTGTTCTGTTCTGTTCTGTTCTGTTCTATTCTATTCTATTCTATTCTATTCTATTCTTTGAGACACCTTCAGTTTAATCCTACTAAGACTGGCTATAGTTATTAGGGCTACCTAGATTTGGGGAGATTCCAACTTGGATTTTGGATGGTTGTACTTTCCCCCCTCAAGGAGACACACAAGTTAGGGGTCTTCTTGGATTGACAGCTCCTGCTTGATGAGCAGGTGGTAGCTATGGCCAAGAATACTTTTGCACAGCTTCGTCTGATGTTCTGGGAGGGGGTGCCCTTTCCTGGATTGTAAGGCCTCTTAGATAGTTACTGATGATGTAGTAGCTATCACAACTCAACTACTGTCATGTGGTCTACATAGGGCTGACTTTGAACACCTCTCAGAAGTTTCAACTGGTCCAGAATGCAGCAGTGTGGGCAATGATGGGTGTGTTTTTCTTAATCCATGTGACACCTTTGTTCCACAAGGTCAGAGGTGGTATTTAGCAGGT